GGCTGCCCAGGTGGTGGTAATTAGGGCTCAGCCCAGTCCCTCTGCGGCTCCAAACACTGCCACCGTGTGTCCCCAGTGGAGAGGTGGTCCCTCAGGAGGGGTTTTCACATCCCTCGCCCGGCGCTCCTCCTGGCTCCTCTGCCGCTCGCAGCTCAGGCTGCCCAGGTGGTGGTAATTAGGGCTCAGCCCAGTCCTTCTGTAGCCTCAAAGCAGTAATTTGATTTAATTCTTAAGCAGGGAAGATTTTTAATGCAGACATATGTTTTATCTGTTTTTAACTTTTCTATGTCTTTTACTCAGTTTTATAGTTTTTAATAATGTTTTGATGTGGTTTTTTTTTTATTTATCTAGAACTTTTTGTAAACATTTTTAATGTGTTATGGAAGCTGCTTTGGCTGCCAGCCTGGGAGAAAGGCAGCATGTAAATAAAGCAAAATAAATAAATAAATATTCTAGTCTATGAAGCAGAGCATAGAGCAGTGAATCCAAATTACAAGAAAAGAGATTCCATCTTAACATTCCTATGGGTGCTGGACTCAAAGCTGGATACTTAAAAGTACCTTTTTTGGAGCCAGGTTTGTGAACACTGATGAAGGACATGCCTGAGAGAATTAAGTTCACCACATTGAATTTCCTGCATAAAATTGAAAAACAGAACTCAATATCATTTGCAGATTTTGTTCTGAAAACTGTGTATACCAAAATGATAGAAATAGAAAACATTAGAAAAAATTTAGAGGGCTAACAATTGGAAAGGGACGGGTGATAGTTGATAGTTTGTAAATATTATTTCAGTTTCAAAAAGACTGTAAGAGAAATGAGTCAGATTAAAGCAGGAATTTGATTGCCCCTGTTTGTTGGCACCATTGATACCCACTTAGCAATTCTCTAGAAGCCTTTGCAAAGTATTTTGGTTCAAGCAGCAATTAATTTGAAGACTTCTATTACAGTGATTATTAGCATCTGATTTGATTATTATTCAGAGCCATGCCTCATTAAAACATGCCTTCAAGACTTCGTTATGGCTGGTTCCTTGAATGTTTGTTTAAAACAAAACCAACAGCCCAAATCATCCAAATCTAAACTATCCCATCCATATTTTTCCCATTCAAAGGCCCAAGGAAGATATGGGGAAGATTATCCCTGAAATGATTTATAGCAGAATACTTCAATTTAATTTTTCTGTAGTGGAAAAGAACAAATTCCAGGCTGCTGCAGAAAAAGATGGGATGGGTGGTGTGGACTGGAACCTGAATATGAAAGATGCTCAAACCATCTTGTTGGGGGCACCCACTTAACTTTCTTGGAGTTGCTTTAGAAGACATACATCAAATGGTGGGCTTTTAGACAATTGTTGAGCTCCTACATTGAGATTACTGTTTTCTGTTGTGTGCCTTCTAATTGTTTCTGATTTATGGTGACCTTAAGGCAAACCTATCATGGGGTTTTCTTAACAAATTTCTTTAGAGGAACTTTGCCATTGCCATCCTCTGAGGCTGTGTGGGTTTACATGGCCAAGCTGAGAATCGAACCCTGGTCTTCAGAGTTCCAGTCACGCTCAAACCACTACACCACATAGCATACTTTTAATCTCTGCATATGGATTTACTCTGTGTGCTACACGACACAAGGTTTGTGTTTAATGGCTGTGTTGGACAAATCAATGGATACCACAATGCACATCTGCCAATTAATAGATATTGCATGGAGAACCCTGCTTCTGTGATGTTGGACAGAATGTGGATATTCTATATTAAACAAAAATGTCCAACTGCTTCTATAGCAGACACATATATAAGGACATCATCATACAAGGTTTGAAAGTGGAATTAGGACACGATAGCAGCATCTGCTGCCATACCTTATCATGTGACATTGCCTGTCCCATAGTTGCCCTGTAGTCCATCTGTTGTTGGAGTGCTCTTTCTCTTTAATGGGCAGACCTGTCAATACCTCCCAATTGGACTGCTTTTCCACCTTGATTCACATGTGATAAGTCCTTCCTGTTGCCCATATGTAGGCAGTTACATGGTGTGAATGAGCATGATTCTGCTCCTCTCTCTCTCGATCCTCACTATTTACAAGCAAGTTGTTTTCCTTTTCCTTTTCTTGTTTTCAATTTCTTTTAATTCTTCTCTTTTTTTAAATTTAATGGATTGCCATGATTATGCAATTGCACTAAAAGCAAAAATAAAAAAATAAAAATAAAAACACAGACTCAAAGGCATGCTGGGAAAGGATTAGGGCAGGGAGGTGGGGCTATGGAGGCCAGAGAGCAAAAGAGAAAAGCATCACCATCATACTTTTGAATGGGTGTGTGATAAAGGGGCTAAACGTACTGTTGATAAGTGCCAACATTGGGATAGAGTGGGGGTATGGCAACCACATGCTGCATGTCCAAACACCATCCCAACACTGGCATCACACCACTCGCCCAACTAGATGGCAGGAGGCATCACATCATTTCTTTGGCACAGTGTTTAGACACATTGCATCAAAGAAATGCGGAAAAGCCGCTGTCATCACAGTAAGGGTGAGTTTTTACCCATTTAAAAAAGAGTGGCATTTTGCTGGCCCTTTTTGATGCATCCAGAGTGTGATGCCGCCTACCATCTAGTTGGGCAGGTCATGGCAACTGCACTCTCCATCCCTGATCTGGTGCTTTAAATGGGCAAAAACTCACCCTTACTGTGATGACAGCGGCTTTTCCGCATTTCTTTGATGCAATGTGTCTAAACACTATGCCAAAGAAATGATGTGATACATCCAAAGCACCAGATCAGGGATGGAGAGTGCAGTTGCCGTGACCCCAATCCAGCATTGAAAGGGATGGTGGGGCACCGCTCTAAAGGGACAATCTGTTCAGCCCCAATGAGTGTCCAAACCTGATATGTTTGCATTTCACACAGAAACACTATTTGGGTACCTTATGAGTTTGGTGTGAAAAAGTACCAAGACATCAGCAGAATCCCAATCATTACTGTCTCTTGCTGATACTTGCAATATTTGCAAATCTATGGCTGAAGGCCTGACTCCTACTGGCAATTCCCATAACATAGTTGAATCAATGCAGTTTAGCTATGTGCTGACTCATTAGTCAAAAATTACACTTGTTCTACTCTATCAGGAATAACCAAAAGGATTCAGGCTAAAATCTAAAATATGGGTAAGAACTAGCTTTATTTGTTAAATTACCATTTTTAATGTTTTTTTAAATCCAATTTTCCACAGTAACAAAATATACATTGTAATTGACATTTCTTCTTCATTCCCATTTTTTTTAACAAGCAAAAAGAGTTGTATCTGAGCATCTTATCACTCCAACTGGAGTTGAGTAACTAGAAAAGAATAGAATACAGTTCCCTCTTCTTGTAATTTGTTTTTGTGATTTTAGTCTTATTTATGCTTACAGTAATCTTGAACTGTTCCTGGGCTTTATGAATGTGTAGTTTTTATGACCATCACTTAGCACATTTTTTTAAAAATTTTCCCAGTCTGTGTTCAAAACTTCTGCAAACATTCTTTCTATCAAATTTGTTAATCCATCTAGTTCTATATTATTTAGAATTTTTAATAATTAATCTTCTATTATTGGTGTGTCTTTTGTCTTCCATTTTTGTCCTATAGGATTTCTAGCTGAGGTGATCCTATGTAGCAGTGTCTTCCAGTGGTTTTTTTTTTTTTTTTGCTTCCATGTCTGATATTTTGTTAGTCATGTTTAATAGATTTCAGGTAGCATTTGAAATTTTATATCTAGATTATTATTTTTTTTATTTCTAAGTGAATTTCTTCCCATTTTTTTTTATCTCAGGGCATTGCTACCACATATGAAACCAATTGCCAGCTATTTTATTACATTTCCATGGTGGCGCAGTGGTTAAATGCCTGTACTGCAGCCACTCATTCATAGACCACAAGGTTGTGAGTTCAATACCAGCCAGGGCTCAGGCTAGACTCAGGCCTGCATCCTTCCGAGGTCCCTAAAATGAGTACCCAACTGTTGGGGGGCAATGAGCCTTCAGTTGTAAACCGCTTAGACACCCCATAGCATGGTATGAAGTGGTATATAAATGATACTGCTTTGCTTTTGCTTTGCTTTACCTTTGTAACTTTTTGGTAATTTTGATGGAGTTAGATACCATCTATATGCCATCTCTAAATAGTTTCTGGCATTTCATGAATTGGAATGTTTTCTTTCTGGAATATTGCCAGCTTTCCAAGTCTGTGTTTCTTCCAGTATCTTTTGTCCATTCTATCATTTCTCCTTTGATTATTTCTTCTTCTAGATTTCTATTCAGAAGTATCTTTTAAGTTTTTGTTACTGGTTTTTCAACCTTCTCTTCTAATATTTCATCTAGTTCATTCTTTTGAATGTCAAAACCAAATTCCTTTATGTCTGATTTGTATCTTTCTATCAGTTGATAATGAACTAACCAATGGCTTTTTGATTCGAATTTTGCAATTTCTTCTATTGCTTTCATTACATATTGTTGTTGTTTTTTTAAAAAAAATGATAGCTGCCATCTTTTCTTTCAGACTTTATTGATACAATTTTCCAGCCCTTTCAAATCAATGAGGGGGAAGTAAGTTCTAGTTTTTGTTTTATTATAAACTCACTGGGCAAGTCACACATTCTCAGTCTCAGGGGAAAACAATGGCAAACCTTCTCTGAACAAATTTTGCTGAGAAAACCCCATGATAGGTTCACCTTAGGGTCACCATAAGTCAGAAATGACTTGAAGACACACAATACATACACACACACACACAGACACACACACACACTTCTTCTTCTTCCATCCCATCAAAATCAGGAGTTGTTATGACTTCCATATTAAACCTGATGCAATGTACAAAAGGTTATCATTATAATGAAATCAAAATATCCACATTGTAAACAATTTAAAACATGCATTTCAAAAACATTTTAAAAACCAGCACCTTCTTAAAAGCTGCTTTCATAACAAAAATGTCAAAACCTCTCTCCAAACACAAACGACTGGTGCACGTGGATCCTGCAACAAAATGATGTATATGGGTCTCTAAGTCTGCAGAAATAAAGCAGTTTGACACCTCTTTCTAGTGCTACAGAATTCTGGGATTCATAGCTTTGAGAGATATTTAGACTTCTCTGTCAGGGAGCTCTGATGTCAAAAGAAACTACATTCTGTAAGGTTTAGCAGGAAGCATTCTACTCAGCTCCATCCTGTGGATCTTTCTGGAAGATCTGGAGCAAAAGATAACTTTTTAAAATACATTTTGAGTGGGCCATAGCCCAGTTCTGGCACTGAACATGCCAGACATCATCTGATCAGTTTGCACCAGCATGGAATTTGGGCCCTGCATCATCTGGACACCCTGCAGAGAGGATTTTGGGAGGGAGATTTATTCGGTCTGTGCAAAGAAGGCTTTAGCTACATTGCTGAGAAGTTTGTTTTCAGGTGGCCTCTGGCAATTGCCACAGCGCAGAAATAAAACAATTTGACACTATTTTTACAGTCATGGCTCCATCTTGAAGAATCTTGGGATTTGTAGTTTGGTGGAGTATTCAGCCTGGTTTATCAAAGAGCTTTCGTACCTCACCAAACTACAAATCCCAGGATTCCACAATATGGAGCCATGACAGAGAAAATTGTGTCAAACTGCTTTATTTCTGCAGTGTGGATACATCCCTTTTCAGGTTTCATTCCTTGCATACATAGACTTGTGATATGATCTGTCAGTTCCCGATCTTGGACTTTGTTTGATTTGTTTATTGACAAATTAACAAAGTGGAGGGGAGGTTGTCATCAGAAAATGAGGAAAAAATTAATCCCTTGTTCCAGAATCTGAACACATCCCTCTCTCAGGAGGTGACCACTGTTTGAAAGAACCAGAAAAGAACCATTTAATTATAAAGATGCTTGTTTTCTTGAAAAAGGAGTTTAGTAGAGATGTTTAAGAGTTCTTTTCTTGCCCCCAAATGGTAGGAATTTAAGAAAGCCCTTGGTCAGGGTAAGATACAGAGATGAAATGTTTCATGTTACTGCAACTAAGAGATCAGTAAATCAAATCTTTTCCTGGCATGTATTGTTTTGGCATGTATTCACTCCTAAATTGATTCCATCTCATTTCTTCATTAACATGAGCTTTAATTTTATTTTAAAAAATGCAAAATAAAATTGTTGACATATTTTGTGGGGATTATACTACATAACTGTTGCCTGTTTTGCATTCTAGATATTAGAGGTGGGATTAGTGGGATTTTGCAGAAGTCTCCTATTCCCTCTCCCAAGGCCTGGTACCTCCTCACGTTTCATTAAAAAAAAAAACCCTACACATTTGAAAGGGGAAGAATCCCATTGTGCAGCTACCCGTTATCTATCCTGAAACAACAGCAACCAAAATCTACACAGCCATGGAGGCAACTGGAAGTGACACAACAAAATTGAGTCTGTAGAGGTGTGTCTACAAGTTTCCAGAGCTCTAGCAGAGTCACAAATCTAGAGGTTCAGACTTCTTGACTCTGTGGTGTGCTCATCCATGCATTAGCCTGAACACATTGATCAAGATCCTGCCTCGAGGAAACAGAGTGTAATTTC